CTGCCTGGTTCTCCCGTCAGCAGCCTGCTTCTGGCCTCACAAGAGTCGCCTATCGCGCTCGATATAACCGTATTGGTACTGATATATATGACTCTGATTAATAATATAAAGAAAGAGGGCATGTGGGAGCCATGAAGTCATGGTAAAGGCTTGTAGCTCCACCTGGCGCCTCACTGACCTCGGTGACCTGCATGTCCGTGCCTTGCAGTGCATATAAGTGCATAACCTTATATGGCGATGGGCGGGTTTAAGCCATGACCGGATGTAGGTAACGTGAGACATTGGCAAACGGCCATGCGACAGGAGAGAACAAAGGATAATCAAAGAGACCGGAGAGGAAGAAGTTTGAAAGGAGCTGCTCATACCATCCTGAAAATATTGCTGGCTCTCTGTGTCTTTATTTTATGCTAAACTGCGCCATTTGTGACGGCTGGCTTCCGTCAGGTTCGCTTCCCCGCTCTTCCACATGCAGCTGCTGGGTGACCTTGGGCCAGTCACACTTCTCTGAAGTCTCTCAGCCTCACTCACCTCACAGAGTGTTTTTGTGGGGGAGGACTGGAAAGGAGATTGTTAGCCGCTTTGAGACTCCTTAGGGATAAAGCGGAATATCAAATCCAAACTCTTCTTCTTCTATTTTTCTATAGAGAAAAAAGCACTGTCAATATCCTTCTTAAATTGTGGTGCCCGGAACAGAACACAGTATTGCAGGTGTGGTCTGACCAAGGTAGAACAGATTGGGACTATGACTTCCTTTGATCTGGACACTAGACTTCTGTTGATGCAACCTAGAATAGTATTAGCTTTCTTTGCTGCTGCATCACACTTTAGAACAGACATTGATGTCCTCTAGATGCTTTGAACTACAGTTTTTATGGCTGTTTCCCCACGTCAGGAAGGCTGGAGAGTTGGTGAGAGTTGTTAAGAACATAAAAAATCCTCATTGTAGTTCTCAAATCCTGTTCTCACAGTGGCCAACCAGATGCCTCTTCTTTGAAGTCCATAAGCAGGTACCCCACCTGCAGTTCCCATCAACTGGTGTTCAGAGTGAGGGAGAACATAGCCAGCATGGCAAGTAGTGCCTGATGGGCTTAACAAGCCCTATATATAATATCCCTTTTGTTTCTGTCTTTGTGTCTGCGGGTGTCATTTGGGCAAAACGTCTTACAGCCGAAATCTCAAAGGGCGGAGACGAGATCCCCTTAACAGTCGAATCCAGAACAGCTTTCTGTTTTCCGTAAACAAGCTTGTTATCTCCCTTTCCACATAATTGATGTGGGCTGCACAAGCTAAAATCTGACACTAATGAATACAAACTGACCTGCCTGTTTTTGGAAGGCGTATTGAATTCTGGAACCAAGAAGGCACGCAAACGAAGCTGGAACGAATCGGCGCTTTACCTCTTCAAAGACCTCAAGGGCAGCGAGACTCTTGCATGGGCTGCGCCATCATAGTTTTATAGCTCTGAGAGTTTGGGGCTGGAAAAAATAGTGGTGCATGATAATAATAATAATAATAATAACAATAACAACAACAACAACAATAACAATAACAACAATAATGTTAAAAGTGGGTTTCTAGTCCATATGAGTGGACACGTGAAATCTCTCCATTCAGAGTGGAGGTCAGTTTTGCCTTATGACTGCAGTTCTGTGCTGAGGGGAAATGCTTCAAGTGCAGGATTACTGTCTACACAAACTGGCAAGTTTTCCGGGATCCCTGGCTGAAAGGCCTTTCACAGCTCTGATAATGGAGTTTCCCAGCCCCCACCCCCTGGGAGCATGCTGTTGAACTAAAGTCCTTCGTGCTGGCTTCCAAGAGAAATCTGTCTAGCCGCTGTGGAAATTAGATATCTAAACCAGATAAGAACAGAAGACTCTCCTATGAGGAAAATTTGCAGCATTCGGGACTTTGGGGCTTAAGAGGGGGGAAAGCAAGTAAGAACCAAAAAGGTAGAAGTTTATAAATAATAATAATACAGTGGTACCTCTGGATGCGAGTGGGATCCGTTCCGGAGCCCCATTCGCATCCTGAAGCGAACATAATCCGCATCTGCGCATGCGCAGGTTGCAATTCACCGCTTCCGCGCATGCGCGTGACATCATTTTGAGCGTCTGCGCATGTGCAAGCGGCGAAACCCAGAAGTAACACGTTCCATTACTTCCGGGTCGCCGTGGAGCACAACCTGAAAATGCTCAACCCGAAGCATATTAACCCAAGGTATGACTGTATAATAGGGACGCGGGTGGCGCTGTGGGTTAAACCACAGAGCCTAGGGCTTGCCAATCAGAAGGTCGGTGGTTTGAATCCCCGCAACGGGGTGAGCTCCCGTTGCTCGGTCCCTGCTCCTGCCAACCTAGCAGTTCAAAAGCACGTCAAAGCGCAAGTAGATAAATAGGTACTGCTCCGGCGGGAAGGTAAACAGAGTTTCCGTGTGTTGCTCTTGCTTAGTCATGCTGGCCACATGACCCGGAAGCTGTACGCCGGCTCCCTCGGTCAATAAAGCGAGATGAGCGCCACAACCCCAGAGTCAGCCACGACTGGACCTAATGGTCAGGGGTACCTTTACCTTTATGACTGTATAATATTTATTATTTAGTTTCCCCAGTCACTCTTGGCGGCTCCCAATCGAGTGTTAAAAACAATACAGCATTCTGCACGGCATGAAGAAAGTGGATAGAGAAAGATTTTTTTCTCCTCTCTTAACGCCAGAAGTTGTGGATGTCCGGAGAAGCTGCATGCTGGGAGATTTAGGACAGATCAAAGGAATTGCTTCTTTACGCAGTGCCTGACTAAACTTTTGAATTTGTTCCCACGAGAGGGAGTGATGGTCACCAGACTAGACTGCTTTTTAAAAGGATTAGACAGATTCGTGGAGGAGGGGGCTATCAATGGCTACCAACCGTGATGGCTCAGCCTCCACAGCAATGCTTCGGAAGTGCAGTTGCTGGAAGCTGCCAGAAGGGGGAGTGATATTGTGCTCAGGTCCGGTTTGCCATCTTCCCATAGGCCTCTGGTTGGCCACGGTGAGAAGAGGATGCTGGGACTAGATAGGCCTTTGGTCTGACCTAGCAAGGCTGTTTTTAGGTCTTCTATGGTGATGATTGTAGTTGAGTGATATATTGACTCTCAGTATGTTTCCGAGCTCAGTTCAAAGTGTTGGTGTTGACCTTTAAAGCCCTAAACGGCCTCGGCTCAGTATACCTGAAGGAGCGTCTCCACCCCCCCCATCGTTCTGCCCGGACATTGAGGTCTAGCTCTGAGGGCCTTCTGGTGGTTCCCTCAAAGCAAAGCTACAGGGAACCAGGCAGAGGGCCTTCTCAGTAGTGGCACCGGCCCTGTGGAACGCCCTCCCATCAGATGTCAAAGAAATAAACAACTATCTGACACTTAGAAGACATCTGAAGGCAGCCCTATTCAGGGAAGTTTTTAATGTGTGACATTTTAATGTGTTTTTAATCTTCGTTGGAAGCTGCCCAGAGTGGCTGGGGAAACCCAGCCAGATGGGCGGGGTACAAGTAAATTATTATTATTATTATTATTATTATTATTATTAATCATAATAATAATAAATAAATAAATAAATAAATAAATAAAATTAAACTAAACTAGGGGGCCATGCTTGCTAACCATGCCTACTTGCCAAAACCATTGCCAACCCCGCTTTCCCCACACTTGGCCGAGTCCCGCTCCTCTTATTCCTGACCGGTCCCCGATCTGTTTACACCTCACCCACCCCCCTCACAGCTCACCCAAACCTCCCCACCCTCTCCCTTCAGAGTTTGTCCTACAGCCTCCCATCGCAGCTTGCTTCAAGCCTCACCCCCTTTTGAAGGAAGGGGGAGGCAAATCATTCCCTGAAGGGCCTTCCCCCCACCTCCACTGAACCTCACTGCAGTTGCATTTAACAGAGTAGGAAGGCGCTTCAGAGCAAGGTTCACCTATTGGTGGCCATGCAAATTGCAGCATGACAACAGCCTTGCTTTTGTATGCATATAGGAAGATATGAAATAAATTTATCCCTCATATAGCCATCAAGAGGGACATCCCCCCCACACACATTTTCATTAGCCTGCAAGGCTGTGCCAGACCAGTCACAGCTTCAACACGCCTGGGATTTAGTCTTCAACTCTGGTCAGGAACTGGCTAAGAATTTCCGCCACCGTTATGATTTCATATGAATCAGAGCAGAATCATATCCTTTGAGTGGGTTTCATTCAAGACCGCCACTCATTCAAGACTGTCATTCATTGTCGGTAAATCAGGCTAAGGAAGCAGCTTCCTGGTGCCATCTTCTGATCAAGCTCAGTATTGCACCCAGTAAGGACTCCTCACTGAACGTAAGATCATCATAATAAAATAATAATAATAAATTTTTATTTATACCCCACCCTTCCTGGTTCAGGAAACCGGGCTCAGGGCAGCTAACAACGAATTTAAAACACTGCTGGATCAGGCAAGGAACTGTCTAAAAGAGCATCCTGTTCTCACAGTGATGAACCACGGGAACAAAGGAAATCCAACAGCTGGCATAATTTATATGTATATATAGTAACACTGATTCTAGTCTTTGGGCAATCAAAATGATGGATATGATGAAGCTAGTAGCCATTGATGGCTTAAGGGAAGCCCTCCGGAGGAGGAGCAAATCTCAGGGAAACTCTCAATCTGTGTTCTGCATGTGTTTTGCGACTGCCAAAGTGTGCAGTTAAGTGTGAAATTCACTTAAATAGGAATTGTGACTTTTGATTTTTTAAGCTGGTCTCTAAGCGGGGTTGGCAATGGTTTTGGCAAGTAGGCGTGGTTTCCTCATGTGCTCAAAAAACATCAGCTACACTAGCCAAAGTTGTGTAAGTCAGAGCTGGAGGGGGGCAGATAGTTGTGGGAGGAGGACTGAGAAAGATATCAAATACTTGGCAGAAACCGTGCTTTAAAAAACAAGCAAATGTGCGTAGGCCTGCAGAATTTGGAAAAAAATAAAAGGTTGATATGACAACAGCTCAAGTACAGGATGCCTCGGTTTTTATTTTATTTTCAAAACACACACAAAAAGTATACACAATCCCGGCCTTCAGCCAGGGGTGCTCTCTACGGAGACCAGCGCTGCGGGAGAATACAAATCTCCCACCTCACCTTGGGGGAAGCAATCTTTCAAGGTCAACTTCTTAGAGCATGGGTAGGCAAATTAAGGCCCGGGGCCTGGATCTGGCCCAATCGCCTTCTAAATACAGCCCACAGACGGTCCGAGAATCAGTTTGTTTTTACATGAGTAGAATGTGTCCTTTTATTTAAAATGCATCTCTGGGTTATTTGTGGGGCATAAGATTCGTTCATTTTTCCCCCCTTCAAAATATAGTCCGCCCCCCCCCCTCAAGGTCTGAGGGACACTGGGCCGGCCCCCTGTTGAAAAAGTTTGCTGACCCCTGTCTTGGAGCAAATCCGCACCATGAGCTTAAAGCACACCCATCGCACATTTAAAGCACATGATGTCCCCCTGCCAAAGAATCTCAAGAACTGAGGTTTGTTAGGGGTCCTGGCAATTGCAGCTCCATGAAGGAGAAACAGCCAGCTCAGTCCTCCTGCCTTCTTCACGCTCATTCCAGCTGTGGCCACCCTCTGACAGCTTGTGAGAAATGAAACCCACCACAAGCACCCTGTGACCATGTGGCATTTTCACCTCTGATGGTGTCTCACTGAGTCCATGGTCCCGAATATGAGCTGGTCTGCTGGTTTCCCAAGCTAGGCTATTGCACCTCTCCAACAATCCATCGGGATGCCAAACAGGAAAGTGGGCTCAGGTGCTGCCTGTAAAGTCCTTTGTCCCAAAGGTCTGTGCAGCAGGGTCAGGGATAGCTCAGTCATTAGAGCCAAAGACTCTTAATCTCGGGGTCAAGGGTTCGAGCCCAACGTTGGGCAAAAGATTCCAGCATTGCTGGGGGTTGGACTAGATGACCCTAGTGGTCCCTTCCAGCTCCACAATTCTGTGACACCTGGTGCCTCATCACAGATCAATCTTTGGAAGCAAAACCAGCTCACGGCTGGAGTGATCTTGCCAGCCTGGGAAGACACAGGTTCTGAAAAGCCAAGAGGGCTCTCTCCACCACCTCGACTGAGTGTGGCAGCCGTGAATGGGAAACTAAACCTCCCAGGATGCTTTGGGGGGGAGCCACGTGCTTTGAATGTGGACTGAACATGACAAAAATGTGCAGAGCGGACCTGCCCTTCAAACCAGGATTCCCACTCGCTTTCCACATGTGTAGCAATGCTTAGGCCATATATCCCTCGTAACAGCAGTAACGTTCCAGCGGCAGCATGTGGAAAGTTGAGTGGGCCTCCGCAATGCCACGTAGGAGGTTCCCAAGAATCTCTAACCATTTCCCCTCCCCTTCTTCTCAGGTTTGAGGTACGCACACACAGACACCTCCATGGTTGACTATTTACGAGTGCAATTTCTGGAATGTTGTGGGCGGTATCAATATAGAGCAGGGCGCTTCTTTTAGCTCAAGGGCCACATTGCCTTGCGGGGCACCTGCCAGGGGCCAGGGGCGGGTGAGGCCAGAGGTGAAAGTGAGCCAAGCAACTGCTCTGATTCATACAATAGGCTACAGGCAATGGGTCAATGGACACACCAAAGCGCCCCCTGCAGGCCGCTCCCTGCTGCCAGTGGAAGGGAGGGCAAATTTAGCTCTAATGTTCTCAAGTGATGGATTTTGCCCCAAAGGGACAGATGGCAGTGAGTTACTTACAAAGGAGGATGGTGGGGTCAGTTCTACGGTGTGGCCTGAACCTGCCCAATTCCCCCTGCGCCCCCAGCCATGGAGAATCAACCTTAACTTTCTCAATCCCATCCTAAAGAAGCCCTGCTGGATCAGAACAAAAGCCCATCAAGCCCAGAAATTTTCTCTGCAATGAAGCCAACCAGCTGCCTCTGGGTGGGCCCCACGGGTGGGATATGAAGCAAAGGCCACCCCCTGATGGCTCCTCCCACCCACCAGGAAACCAGTCCTACACTACGCCTGAACCCAGAAGCTTCATAAAGCTATGAAGACGAATTGCCACTAATGGACCTACCCTTTGTGAACTCGTCTGGCCGCCGCTTAATAACAAAAAATGAGTGCTTTTTGTTTCTTGGTCAGGCAGGGGGAACCACGGGGAACCCTTGGACTCTCTATAAATTGCACCCCGTCTTCCCAGGCCACAACCCTCCTGGCCCTGCCTCTCTCCCCTGCCTAGAGTGTTTTCATGGTCCTCAAACTCCACTATAACGCCCGTTTCCTCGATGGAGGACACAGAAGGATGGAGCACTTTAGAATGTTCAAAGTGACCTGCATTCCGAGAATCCTTACAAACAACTCTCTAAGGTGGGCTGCTGTAGCTTAGGGTAGCTGAATCCGGGCTGTGGATTGTTTATGCTTCTTTTCCTGCCAGGAAAGAGGTATTCCCCCCCTTCTCCCACCTTTTATTGCTTATTGTTTTAACTTTTTAACTTACTGTCTTGTTTTGTGAGCCACCCAGAGAATTTGTTGTTGAGTAGTTGCGATTTTATTTTTATTTTAAAGACGATTTGTGGGTTAAGCAACACTCTCCTCTCAAAAGATCTGAACCACTTTGCTGCCCATCTTAATCCAGGATTCCACTCCCCAAATAAGAGCACCTAGATCAGCCTTTCCCAACTTGGGGCTCTCCAGCTGTTTTGGACTACAACTCCCATCAGCCCCTGCGAGCATTGGGAGGATGGGAGTTGTCAAAGCAGCTGGAGAGCATCAAGCTGTGGGGGTGGGAGTCATGGACTGATCTAGCTACTTTAAGCTAACAAACATGGTAGGAATCAAACAGTTTTATCCTGTTGCCTTGTGCCAGGCAGATGGTTCGAAGATATACTGCCCCTGCAGCTGGAGTTTCTATCTAGCTATTGCATTGCTAAACCGCAGCTAGGGGCACGTTTCGCTAAAAGGAGACCCATTTGTGTTCATGGGGAAGCAGCCTATGACAAGCTTCTTTGCTCCTCTGTTCTGCACTAGCCATCACACCGCTTCTAAAACTAACCGCCGATATAAGCCTGAAATCTCGCTTCCATTCCCCCTTACTATCCTATTCTCAGCCTACTTCTATTTTCCAAAAAACCACCAGTACTAATCCTAGACCCTCCTCTATCCTCGCTTCCCGCCTGCATTGCGCAGGCCCTCCCGATTCCAAACACCTTAGGGACTAGCACCCTTTCTACGAGTGCTGAGATGGACCTGTGTGACCAGGAAAGGCTAAATCATAAAGGGACAGGGCAAGAGGCACCAGTCACAGAAGTGATACCCGGCCAGAGAGGTTGCTGGGCCCCTGCTCAGCAGCCTCCCAAGAATTCCCCACGCTGTAGCTCTCAGCAGAGTGGATTCTCTGATGTGTGGTAAGGGAAGAGTGAGTGCTGAAGCTCCTCCCACACTCGTTGCAGATGTAAGGGGTGTATATCGAGTGCGTTCTCATGTGTCTCGTGAGCTTTGAGCTGGAAATGAACCTTTTCCCACACTCGGTGCATCCGTACGGCCTCTCCCCGGTGTGGACTCTCTGGTGCGTGTTCCGGGTCGACAAGTGGCTGAAGCTTTTCCCACAGACGTTGCACAGGTAGGGCTTCTCGCCCGTGTGGATCCTCTGGTGTTTGCTGAGGTTCGAGCTGTAGCTGAAGCTCTTCCCGCACTCGGGGCAGCTGTAGGGCTTCTCGCCCGTGTGGACCCTCAGGTGTTTGGTGAGGTCCGAGTTCTGTTGGAAGCACTTCCCGCAGTCTGGACAGCCGTAGCCATACGGCATCTCTTCCATGTGGATCCTCTGGTGGGTGACCAGGCCTCGGTGCTGGCTGAAGCAGGCCCCGCATTCGGAGCACACGTAGGGCATCTCACCGGTGTGGGTTCTCTGGTGGATGAGAAGGTTTGAGCGCTGAGCAAAGCACTTCCCGCACTCGGGGCACTGGTGCGGCTTCTCGCCCGAGTGGATTCTCTGATGTTTGAGAAGGTTCGAGCTCTGGCGGAAGCACTTCCCGCACTGGGGGCAAGGGTACGGCTTCTCGCCCGTGTGGATTCTCCGGTGGATGGTGAGGCTGGAGCGCTGAGTGAAGTGCTTCCCGCAATCCGGGCACTGGTGGGGACTCTCTGCCGCGTGGACTCGCTGGTGTTTAATGAGGGCCGGGTTTTGGTGGAAACCTTTCCTGCCCTCGGGACTCTGGAAGTGCCTTTCCCCTGGGCGGGCTCTGCTAGGAGTCTTCAGTCCGTTTTCTGTGCTCCGGTTTCCTCTCCTCTCCACGTAGTCACTGCTGGAGCTACCTTTGTCTAAAAGAAAAGGGGGGGCGGGAGAAGAGACCTCACGTTTCCTAATGAACTTGTGTCTCCCAATATGGGGGCAGAGATCCCCCAAAAACCGGCTAATTTGTTTATGTACGCGACAACGTCAGCTAGAACTTCGTATGCACAGAGGTGGAAAGAGGAAGGATTACCAACTAAGGAGGAAAGGCTTATGAAACTGATGGGCTATGCTGAAATGGTGAAATTAACTGCCAAACAAAGAGGGAATAATGACGAAGTGTTTAAGGAGGATTGGAGACCACTGATATATCTCCTATCAAAATATCACCAACATATGAAGTTGTGGTCAGGGTTTGAAATATAAAAGCTTCAATGCTAGCAGGGTTTAGATAATTAAAATATCTGTGTTATAAAACAGCTAATAAAAAGGAATAAACAACAAACACCAGGAAAGTAAAGAAGAAACTTTGTATGTTTTTTAGAAAATGTATATGATGATAAATGCTTTGAAATATTGTTCGAGACTTAATAAAAATGATATATACTTGTGTCTCCCAAGATGCTGAAGAGAAAGAAACCCTTTTCACATGAGCTGACAGTTTTTCAGAGGGCAGAATGAATAGGCCCAGCAATCATGTTCCAACCCCAAATCCCAACTAGACTGCTTTACTATAGTCTAGTTTTCAAAGAAGTAGACCTCTGTCTGAGCTGTATCATTTGGACTGCAAAGGAAGCCTCGTCTCCTATACCAGAGATGAGGAACCTAGAGCCTTCCAGTTGTTCTATTGCTCCCATAATCCTGACTGTTGACCATGCTTGCTAGGGCTGATGGGAGTTGTAGTTCAGCAATGGGGTGGAGCCTTGGCCTTCCTGGGCCCAGCCAAAATCCGTGGCTGTTTCTTGTCAGTCCTTTCATGGAAAGAAAGGGCTTGGGTGGTCGAGCATCCAGGTGGCATCACCACTCTCATAGCTACCGCGAACCGCTCACACTCCCAAGACAGAAGTAGCCAGGCCCTAAGAAACACGCAATAAACTCTGACGCCTAGAAGGCAGCAAATCCTTACCCTGTGCTCTGGCTTCCTCTTGCTTCACCTCTCTGCACAGCCGCTTCAGTCCGGGACCCATGGGAGATGGCTTTGCCTCGGGACGATTCACAGCTGGGGCTTCCAGTGCCTGCAACAGCAGTTAATTTAAACGTACGAACGGGGGAAAGAAATTAGTTTGGCTTGCTTCTCAATGCAAACCTACATCATTTGCACTTCCTAACTTAATACACAAACCAGTACACAGATGTCGTAAGAACATGGTGATTCAAGCCAATGGCCCATTTAGTCCAGCATCCTGTTCCTGCAGGTGCCCATGTGCTAATAATAATAATCATAATCATAATCATAATCATAATCATAATCATAATCATAATAATAATAATAATAATAATTTTATTTATATCCCGCCCTCCCCAGCAGAAGCAGGGCTCAGAGTGGCTAGCAACAATAAAAGTAACACAGTTTACATAAAATCACAACCATTTAATTGAAATGCATTCTAAAATCAATTCATTCTAAAATCAGTTCAAGAAACATGAAATCCCTGATATTTGCAGATACTCATGTGGTTTTAAATTACATTTGTCCGCACACAAATAAGTGGTGCAGGTAGGAAACCACACACATATTATGCAAAGCTCAAGGAATTTGGTTTCTGAGAGCCATCTCTGTGCAGCGCTTTTGTAAAATGTTGAGCTCCGAGGCGACCACGGAAGCTCCTGCCGCAAGCTACCTGGAACAAGATTAAGAGAAGTTACCTGTTTTTCCTTCCTTTCGGCCTCTCGCCGCCTCAGCAGGAATGCCTCGGCCAGAGGCACTGCTTGGGCGCAGGTCTCCGGGTCGTGCTCCCTCACCCAGCTCTGGATTTCCTGGGGCAGGAGGGTGAGGAACTGCTCAAGAACCAGGAGGTCCAAGATCTGCTCCTTGGTGTGCTTCTCCGGCTTCAGCCAACTGCGGCACAGCTCCCGGAGCTGGCCGCACACCTCCCGGGGACCCTTGGCCTCGTGGTAGCGGAACTGCCGGAAGCGCTGGCGCTGCGTCTCCATGCGGATGGCGTCCACCTTCAAAATGGCCGCCTTGACTTTGCCGTACTCTCCTCGGTCCTGCAGGCTGAGGTTGCTGTAGGCCTCTTTGGCCTCCCGGCTCAGGACGGGCAGCAGGCGGGCCAGCCACTCCCGTCGAGGCAAGTGGCAGGTCCCAGCTAGCCGCTCGAAGGAGGCGAAGAAGGCCTTGTTGTCCCCCCATGGCGCAGCTTCCTCTGTCACTGGTGGGTTGCCCCATCCCAAGTGAGAGGACTGCATGGCTCGGAGGAACTCTTGCCACTGGGCTTCCCAGCATTCGGGCAAACCCTCATCGGGCTCCTGTTTCACTTGCAGCGGGGCGGCCCAGTCAAGGAACTCTCTGATGGTCCCAACCTGAAGGACACGAGGAGATTTCCCCGCTTTTTCTGCTCCCTCGGCTGGTTTGGGGCCTGCTGGGTCACGTTCCTCCATTTTGACACTGGAAGGCGCTGGTGTGGCCTGGCATCTGCCAGCCGGCGCAGACCCTTTCTTGGTTGCCATTTCCTCTCAGAGAAAAGAGTGGAGCTCTGGACTTGTAGACACCCTCTCCCCGAGAACTTGTTGGAATCTTCAGGATTCCTCTTTGCTGCTCTCACAGCCCTGCTCTGCGATTTGGTCAAAAGAAGAGGTCGTTTTCCATAGAAGTGGGGATTTTGTGTTTTTAAACAAGTGGTACGTCACACAACATACTTATGCAGTGAAGCTTCTCTCTGAGGGGGGAAAAAACAAGCACAGACTGTGAGAAACATAACTTACTACCTATTAATGGCCAAATTGAATTCAATGGGATTTACTCCCTGTAAGCAGGCACACGATTGGAACCTAAACTGATGCTGGCTGTTACTGTTTTACTGCTGGTTTTAACTGTATTTTGTTAATGTAATTTATTTATTCATTCATTCATTTATTACCTGCCCTTTACCCTAAGGTCTTGTGGCAGGTTTCGGTATCAGAACACAATATCAGTTTTTAAAACAACAACAACTTAACATCATAAAAATAAATTGTAAATGAAGTTAGCGCTTTGGGGTGATGACAGTTTGGATGCAGGGTTGAAGGAGCGTCTCCACCCCCATCATTCAGCCCTTCTGGCGGTTCCCTCACTGCCAAAAGTGAAGTTACAGGGAACCAGGCAGAGGGCCTTCTCAGTAGTGGCGCCTGCCCGGTGGAACGCCCTCCCACCAGATGTCAAGGAAATAAACAACTATCTGACTTTTAGAAGACATCTGATGGCAGCCCTGTTTACGGAAGTTTTTAATGACTGATGTTTTAATGTATTTTTAATATTTTGTTGGAAGCCACCCAGAGTGGGAAACCCAGCCAGATGGGCAGGGTATAAATAAATTATTATTATTAATATTATTATTATGCGGGAAGCAACAACGAATTGCTGCCATGTAGCAGCAAACACAGGGTCTGTTAATAAATGGCCTGGGTAAATATAGACATTTTTAGCTGGCACCAAAAACCCACAAAGATTTGTCGCTGCTCAAGTCTCTGCATTGAGAACGCCATTTCTCGTGTCACCACATATTTAGTTTTATCATTGGGGGTGGCATCCCCAGCATTTCTTAGCAAGCGGGTAAATTAGTCAGGGAGAAGGCACTTTGGGGGATGGGTGGCCTGTGGCGACCCCAGATGCCGGTGGACTACAAATCCCATCATTCTTGGCACTGGCCATATTGACAGGAGTCTGAGTCCAACAACAGGCTCACCCTCTCCGATCTGGGTCCCACGCTGCTGCTCCGAGCTTTGTAGGTTAATATGCAAGTGCCTTGGACCTGGGATTGTGTGCCTGCCCACTTGTCTGATCTGCAGGCTACAAAAGGAGGGGGAAAGCAAACAAGCAACGTATACACACAGAGAGAAAGGGCCCGTTTATTCAGCAGCGCCGGGCCTTGCCCTGCTGCACCCCTTTCAATCCGCAGCAACCCAGCAGGTGATCCGCGCCGATCTCCACGCCGGCTAAACAGCAGCTCCTGCGGGCTTAACTCCTGCAGGTCAGCGCCGCCATTTAAAGGCAAACGCCTATAGGGAAGGCGATGTGAAGATCTGACAGTTCTGGAATCATTGGTCGCTTTCTTCTCTGAAAATCAGCCCTTTTGCAAACCACTTGTTCCCGGGCTGAACTTGATGGTTGCAAAGAAATGAGATTTCAGATTGCATCCTCCCTCCAAGTCGTTGTTTCTGCTCTTTGAAAAGCAGCAACAAATCCACCCCACCCCCCTTTGCAATTATTTACTCACCTTTCCTCCAAATGCACCGACCTCCCCCAACAATACTACTCCTGGGAAATCCCAAAGCCAATTTTTTTCTTTTTCTTTCTCCCTAGGGTAGCTAGAACAGAACAGGAAGGTGCGTCCAGTATTTAAATCCCCCCCAAAAAAACTCTCTCCAAGAGTCCTGGGCCTCTCTAGGCAATGCGGGGGAGTCGCTAGATTTAACCCTTGGAGCGCCTCGCCCGAGAGACAAGAGACGGAGGAGGAGGAGAAAAACCAAGGAGAGCAACTTCTTTTTCCAGGTTTGCGACAAGTAAAACAAAACAACACAACGCAACTTTATCCTTCCTGCACAAAAGCAGGCACTGAGGCTACAATCCTAGGGTTGCAACAATATAATATTATATAATATTAACAATAACAAGAATAGTAACAAGAATATGCCATTTTTTAAAAAAAAAATCAGAACAAGCATATTTTATTTAACAAGGATAAATATAACAAGTTGAAAAGCATTAGGATGAGGGCATTTGCCCCTTAGTGGCTCCTCGCTTTGTTAGGCTTGGGGTTAAAGCGGTTAAATGGACTGAGCTGAGATTCCTAGAGGGACCCCGATTTATTTATCGGCGCTCCCTTCCTTTTCCTTCCGCTGCTTCTCTATGGCTGGATAATAATAATAAATAATAATAATAATAATAAGGAGAAGCAGCCTTTTGCAAGGTCTAAACTTGGGTGGATCTCTGGGATCTCCTGCAAGGGAGAAGCTGCAGCAGAGACAGAGGCTGGAAAGAGGTGAGTGGTTGCAGGGGGGTGAAAGAAAGGGAAGAGATCAGAGGGAAGAGCAAAGGTCTGGTGCTTTGCAGGGCAGAAGGCAGACGTCCCCAAGCACGCGCTCTGGGTTAGGGGGTGGTGGGGTGGTGGGTGGGTGAAATCTGTGGCCCTTCAGATGTTGGGCTCCCAGCTCCCATCAGCCCCCAGTCAGCGCAGGCAACATAGCTAGGGAGAGTGGGGGCTGTAGCCCAGCAACATCTAGAGATCCAAGCTTCCCCCATGCCTGCCCCTAACTCGAAGGTTGTCTGTCCAGCTGGCCCCCCAAGGCCTGCCCCTCTGCCTAGCCCCGGGAAGAGCTGTGGCTGGGTGGAAAAGGCATCTGCTTGGCATTCAGAAGTTCATAGGTTCAGTCCCCAAGGGCAACTCCAGACTGACCAATTCACTTGTACATAAAAGGGCAGTTGTTGCATTTAACTCTTATTGCAGAGAATTTAGTCAGCAGGCTCATCTCAGCTATCTGCCAATCTCCCATTCCCACCACCCTTCTGAGTAATACCCCTCCCCACCTTCTCACTATATAGAAGGATCTGGCAACTTCTGTTTCAGTGTATCTGAAGAAGTGTGCTTGCACACGAAAGCTCATACCAAGAACTAACTTAGTTGGTCTTAAAGGTGCTACTGGAAGGATTTTTTTTATGGCAGACCAACACGGCTACCTATCTGTAACTGCAGAGAATTTAGACCATCAAAACGCAGAAAGAATTTTGTGTGTTATGAGGTTTACTTTAGGTTTCCCGTGGTCGTCAAGAGGCTTTAAAGGGAGTCCAAAAACGGTTAGAATAAAAAACAACAACTCAGGAGGTTAAAGATTGGAAAAGGGCTTACTTTAGCTTTGAGGGGGGTTTTTTCTTTTAAAAAAAGAATAAAGTGGTATATAAATTTTATGAAATAAATTGTGTTTCTCATATATTTCCCATAGTGCATTAAATAATGCCAAGACAGCGCACGTTTCCTATTTCTGAGGTGACCCCTTTGCTTGTTGAAGAAAGGGAAGCAATAGTGCAGGAGAATGGAGAAATTTCTGGAAGAAACCACATGGTTTGGAGAAGACTTAGTGAGAAACTTGCAAAGAAGAAAATCAACATTTCTGCATACAGTCTGTACCTAGCTGTCCTCAGGGGTCGCTATGAGGTCTACCAGACCTTGGGAAATTGTACAGAACCTGTTGCTTCTGACCGGGGAAATCACGAGCATTCATCAGCTTTATCCTCTGATGAGTCCAGAGACCACAATATGGATGGAAGCACTGAGGAAAGCGAGGAGGAGGAGGAGTACTTTTTGAGCAATCAAAAAATTGTTGATGAAACACTGGACAGAAAGAAATTCACAGTCACATTTTCTACAGAAGAATGGGCTGAGATTTCACCAGAAGATTTGACATATAGGAGCAGGAGAGAGAACTCCATTCGAACCTACAATATAGGTATGGGCTCACAAGCTAAATATTCATGTGTGGTCTCATTTGGAATTGCCGTGTAAGGTAAGATATAGGGGAGGTAAGATCTCTGTGTCAGACCGGGCACAACAATACATTGGTACCTCGGGTTACATATGCTTCAGGTTACATACGCTTCAGGTTACAGATTCCGCTAACCCAGAAATAGTACCTCAGGTTAAGAACTTTGCTTCAGGATGAGAACAGAAATCGTGCTCCGGTGGCACAGCAGCAGCAGGAGGCCCCATTAGCTAAAGTGGTGCTTCAGGTTAAGAACGGACCTCTGGAACGAATTAAGTACTTAACCCGAGGTACCACTGTATTTGAAAGTGACAGGAGAATGCTCGTTTTGCAAGTCACAGTTCATCGGATGCATTAATGCAATGCCTCCAGCAGAAGGCCCAGTAGTAATGCAATGTTCTTACAAGGGGCGATTCAATGATAAGCATCGACCAAACCTGAAAAGAAAACTGTCTTGAGTTGCAAGATATATATATAAAAAATTGTCCAGTAGCACCTTAGAGACCAACTAAGTTTGTTCTGGGTATAAGCTTTTGTGTGCATGCACACTTTTTTGGTATCTGAAGAAGTGTGCATGCACACGAAAACTTATACTCAGAACAAACTTAGTTGGTCTCTAAGGTGCTACTGAACAATTTTTTTATTTTTTTATATATTTCAACTGCGTCAGACCAACACGGCTACCTACCTGAATCTGGAGTTGCAAGAGAGAGAGAGCTTTTTTAAAAAGGCAAATGAAAATATGTCAGCAACTGCTCTTTGTCACCAGTATTCAGATGCCAGTATGACATTTGGTGATCCTGAACCTAGTCATCTGCCTGCAGGTAATGTCTTGCAGGTAGCAAAGTGCAAAGCTCTGAAGGGAACTCACCTGCAAGGTTTTTTTGCGGGGGTTTTGCTGCAAAACTTTTGCCAAAGTTTGGTGCCAGTTTGGAGTGAATCGGACAAGGTTGGGTTTTTGGTGACCCCGTGACCCCCAGGTTTGAGTGTCAATTGCTCCGTTTGTGGGGCGCTGCAAAATGCGGGGGGGTTGCTGCAAAACATTTGCCAAGAGTGAATCGGACAACATTGGGTTTGGGAGCATTAAGTACAAACCCTGTTTTGAAATATCAGTTACTCCATGGGGCACTGCAAAATGCGGGGTTTTCAGTGCAAAATGACTTTGACACCAGTTTTGAGGGGATCCCAGATTTTGGTGTTTGTAGTTAACGCAGCTGAAATGACTGACACTTGGAGAGGCTGGGGTGTGAATGTAACTGGAGATGATTTTTACCTGTATCTGTTTTTAGAATGCCTACCTATGGATGTGCTTGCTGCCCTGGCTCCTTCTAGAGGAAGGGTGGGATATCAGTTCAAATAAAATAAATCAATAATAATTTGGGTTCCTTCAACGAAAGTGATGGGCAGTAGATTCAGGACAGGTCAGAAGCAAGGACTACTTCACACACTCTTTGCTTGCTTTCAGAACTTGAGAAGAAATTTTCAGAACCAAACAAAATGGAAGAACTGGGCCTAGCGGGCCCTGAGGCCAAAGAGGAATTGGAGGCAGGAGGACAAGATCTTTGTGTTGTTCAGGTTGGGACCGTCCAGGAGCTTCTGAGCAGGGCAGCCCCACCACAAATTAAAAAGGAACCAGATGAGGCGATTCAACAGCACTGGGAGACCCAGTGGCAGGAGTTCCTGAGGAGAATGCAGTCTCCTCAGTTGGAATGGGGGCAGCAAAGCCCACGTCTGCCTCAGCTCTGGTCAAAGGACTACGCTGAGGACTTCCAGGCCTCTGTCAAGGCCATTGTGGATACGATCTGGTGGCCTGCAGGAGAGCGCATGGCCCAACCCTTGCCAGGCCTACTCAGAGAGTCCAATGAGGCCAGTCAAAGGCTGGATCCTTCTGTGAAAGTGAAGGAAGAGGTTCCGGATGAGGAAGACACCGCCAGCTTGGAGTTGCGTTGCTGGCGCTTCCGGCGGTTTGGCTACAAGGAGGCTGGGGGGCCCCGAGAGGGCTTGAGCCGACTCCGTGAACTTTGCCACCGGTGGCTGGCACCGGATGCACACACCAAAGAGCAGATTCTGGATCTGGTGATCTTGGAGCAGTTCCTGGCCATCCTGCCTCCGGAAATGCAGAGCTGGGTAAGAGAACGGGGCCCCGAGACCTGCACCCGAGCGGTGGCTCTGGCAGAGGATTTCTTGCTGAGGCTGCGTGAGGTCAAGGTGCCGGGACGAAAGGTGAGGGTACTCAGTGTGGCTAAATTGCCAGGAGTTCTGTTCCTCCATCTCAATAGCCCCCTTTATATCTTGGTCTTCTAGAGAGGTAAAGCCAGAAAGGAGAGACAGACTGGAGCTGTCCCCAGGTTGTTGGCCTTCACTGGTAGCCAGGGAAGCTGGTGCCCCTGCCGCACCTTTTCCCCTTCAATTCAGGCTCTGTCGTCTCTCCCCTTAAGAAAAAGTGCAAGCAAAAGGGGGAGAGGAGCTTGCCCTCAAAGGAAACGGCTCCCCAGGTTTCCAAGTAGTGGCATCACAAAACCATTCATTTCTCGTTCCAGGTACAGGGGCCTTTGGACGAGGCGGCTGTGGAGTCCAATGCCGTGGAGTCGCCTTTGCCTATGGAGGTCAAGCCGGAGGAGGATGGTGAGGCCAGCTTGCTGGGTAAAGGTTTATTACCGTATTGGCCTGAATATAAGCCGCACCCGAATATAAGCTGTACCTTTAAAATTCAAGGGAGGGAGAGAAAAAAAGACAACACCCAAATATAAGCCACTCTCTTAAAATTCTGCAGGCACTCACACCCATTCCGTTTTACAGTATGTCTGTTTCAGCAGCAATATCGTAAAAGCCCATTTTTGTAAGGTTGCGAATTTAAGCTGGTCACGGCTTTCACGGTCAGAATTTGGAAAAAAAGTGAGGCTTATATTCAGGCCAATACGGTAATTATCAATGTAATTATTTTAAGCATTTGTACCTTGGGATGCACTGGGAATGGTTTCCAGAACAGCTTACAGATCGTCACTGCCCTCATAGACTCATAGTCTAAAATACATGCTATGTTTTATTTATATATTTGTAGGAATATTTCTAAACCACCAACCAAAAAAAAAATGACTACCATTATGATGATGTGTAATATAAATGTTAAAGCATCATAAAATTATAAAACCAGACAATTATTCATACACTGATTTGGGGGCCAAAGACTCCCGAGTCATGAATGTTACATTAATAAACAAGTAAGATACAGTAAAAGTATAATAAATCAGTCAAAACAATATAACATAACAAAAATACTTGAGATGAAAGGGAAAAGGGGCAGAAGCACAGGGCTAGGTTTTTGTTCTTACAGCTATGTTTCTTATAGCTACCAGGTTGGATAAAAACAGTTCAGGATTCCTAATGGAATGACTGCAGTTAGGTGGCAATTAAGAATGGGAAAACATTTTTTTTCTATTTCCGCTGTATTTGTCTTATGCGGTGCCCTTTCTGTTCTGCTACAGTTTGCCTCCTGCCAAAAACTACATTATTTGTCTCACTTCCCTCTGTGCTGAAGTTACATATATTACATAAATTAGGTTGCCATTAATGTTATTCCACCCTGTTCGTTTCAGTGCAAAGGAAACACAATACATATGGGCAAAAACACATCATTGATTATTTAGAATTCTAGAACTATAGAGGGTATATGACTCGTGTCCTTAATTCTCTGTTCCAGAAGCTGATGGGCACATTTGGATGGACTTTGGCTTGAAAAGACCCAAGAAAGTTGATGGGATGCCATTGACAGGAGCCCAAGGGGGTCTGGAGGAGCTAGAAGAGGCACCAGGGAGACGGATGTGCCCCTCAGAACAGCCAGAGGAGACAGAAGGCCGAGCTTTCCCGTATAACAAAGGTTTCAATTGGTGTCCCTCCCAAAAGGGCCTTTTGAAAGTTGTGGGAGAGAAAACAGGCAGCAGGAGCGAGAAAAGCTGCCCTCCGAGAGCGGACCTTCCCAAGAAAGCCCAGAAGATGTATGAATGCGCCTACTGCGGCAAAATCTGCAACAACAGCGCTCACCTGGTGATCCACGAGAGAATCCACACAGGCGAGAAGCCACATAGATGCTCCGAGTGCGGGAAAAGCTTCCGCCAGAAAGGAAACCTTACCACACACAAGAGAATCCACATGGGGGAGAAGCCCCACGAGTGCCGGGACTGCGGGAAAAGCTTCAGCCGGAGGCAGCAGCTCGTGAGACATGAGAGGATCCACTCGGGAGAGAAGCCCTACAGATGCGCCGTCTGCGGGAAAAGCTTCTGCCGGAAGGACTCTCTCATCACCCACAACGGGACCCATGTGCGGGAGAAGTCCTTCGAGTGCTCTGACTTTGGGGAAGGCTTCCCTTCTAATGCTGGACTTCAAAAAACGTAATATATTCATGCACACCAGGTCATAGACATGTTCATAATGGGGGATTTGACTGGACATCCTTGACTGGAGTGTCAGGCTGGGACTGGGGTGACACTCTGCCTGGCCTACCTCGTAGGGTTGGTGTGAGGTTCAAATGGGCAGTGGTGGAACACTGTGTGCTGCCCTAAGCTCCTTAGAGCAACCTCCCCAAACCTGCTGCCCTACGGATATTTTTTGGGACTACAACTCCCCAGGTCAGGAAGGGGGGGTGCTTTAATGAGATGGGGGGGAAACCCTGCTAGATTGGGCCAAAGACATCCCTGTTCTCACAGGGGCCAAACTTAGGGAAAGTGTTCCTTTTAGGCGGTGGGGGGCTGGGAACCCTCAAGCTCCCGGGTGCAAGAATGCTGTCTCCCCACTTGTGATTCCCAGTAATTGCGTATACAGTGGCATACTGCCTCCAAAATACTTCAGTTGTTGCTAATAGCCATGAATAGGCCGCTAATGGAATTGCCTAACCTTCTTCTTTAAACAAATTGTTTTTATTAAATATTTTTGGGTTACATAAGTACATACATCGCCTCGGAAGAAGAGAAGAAGAGTTTGGATTTGATATCCTGCTTTATCACTACCCGAAGGAGTCTCAAAGCAGCTAACATTCTCCTTTCCCTTCCTCCCCCACAACAAACACTCTGTGAGGTGAGTGGGGCTGAGAGACTTCAGAGAAGTGTGACTGGCCCAAGGTCACCCAGCAGCTGCATGTGGAGGAGCGGGGAAGCGAACCCGGTTCCCCAGATTACGAGACTACCACTCTTAACCACTACACCACACTGGCTCTCTGTGTTCAGATCATAAAGTCCTTTCTACAGATCAGTTATATTTGATGTGAGACGTTAAACGTTAAAGCCATCCTGGTTGGTGGCCATCACTGCCTTTTGTGGGATTGGGAATGTGTGTAGCAACTGCCCATCTGTACAAAGGTAAAATTCACATCTGTTGCTCTGTCCACTTTTTCCTCTAGTCCTGACCAGAACAGAATGCTGCCGTCAGTCAGCAAAGAGTCCCCCATCCCTGCTCCAGGCTCTATTATAATTATTTATTATTACTGTTACTTTTCAGATTTATACATTTCACTGATTTTACAATCATTTTGAAATTTCAAAACTTGACTTCCTTCCCCCACTGTCTGTGGTTCCTTAAATTTATTTTTAATATCTTCTGCATATCCAAATTAACTTCAATTTATTCATCTTCTTTAAATGTATACTCTTATAAAGCTGCAGGTTATTACAATAATCCTGCCAATGTTTTTATCTGTTTTATCTGTAAATATTCAATAAACCATTTCCATTCTTTTGTAAAAAGTTTGTTATCTTGATTTCTTATTCTTCGGGTAAGTTTCACCATTTCAGCATATTCCATAAGTTTTTGTATCCATTCTTCCTCTGCTGGAACTTTCTTCTTCTTTTAATTTTTGGACAGGTAACATTCTTGCCACTGTAGTCACATATATGACAAGTTTTAGGTAGTTCTGTCGCTATAATTCCCAAGAGAAAAGCTTTGGGGGGGGTTATTTAAAAAACCCTGCTTCGGTTCTTTGTAAACATGTTTTTATGGGAGCTCCCAAAGCAGTTGATATTCACAACTCCACCCCCCAACCCATCCGGGTTGACAGGACTGTGCAGGGAATAAATAAAGACTAGGTGTTAAAAGTGGGTTGAAAAAGGCTGAGGGGTGGGAAAGAATGTGACGAGGAAAATTTTACTTAGGAACTTTGAGCTTCAGAAATAAAAGGCCTGGGCATGTACAGAGGGCACCTCCCTTTGCAACAAGGAACCTCTATGTTTCATAAGATTATTCAACAACACAACAGTAGTTCCCTTCTTATTTACTTTTTTTTGTATTTTATTATTCTTGGTGGCTGGTGATGAATAAATATGTTGGTTATATACTGATATTTCTCGGCTCCAACTCCAACCAGGCCTGTGAGGCAGATTTGTTTTCCTCAGGAGATCCTAAGGTGGGTTTCATTTCTCTGAAGAAAAAAGAAAGGGAAGAGTGTCTGTTCAGAGAACGAGGCTCCTGAGAACGTGTAGAGATGGGCTCCTGTGTCAGCCTCGAAAAAAGATACCTCCCTCCCTTCATAGTTCAGAGCCACTCGGATCTTCCTGGGCTCCCCACTCAGGGGCAGAAGAGAGTAGTTAGGGGGGTCGCAGGCCCTGTACTCTCCTTCCCATCTCCCCACAGCCCAGATCCCTCCCTCCGGACTTAAGGGAAAGTAGTTCTTCCTCCTCACAGACTTCCTAGCAACCCCCACAGCCCATCCTTCCTCACTTGCCCCAACAACCTCCCAGAAATGTCTGCCTGCTGTGAATCCTTCACATCCCATCACAGAAGGACGTTGGCTGAATCTCTCAGGATTGCTGGGCAAGTCTTGCAGTTTGGCTCCATATCTCACACTTTGAAGATCCTCGGACAAGATGAGAATGGGATGGGCAGTGTCTGGATCCAGAGTGACGTTTGCTGTTGGGGAGAAGATGAGGAAATGAGAAGAGAGTCAGAATCAGCCGAGAATCAGAGACAGAGGTCTTGATCCATGGAAACACCTCGGGTTCTTTGGGCTCATCCATACTTGTCTTTGGCCCTACACTTTCTAGGCACAATCCTGCACTTTAAAACTATGGATCTAAACACTCATCCACCACCACTTTCCCCAGGAAAACCTGCTGTTTAAGGATGAGTCAGAACAAATGGCAATTTGGGTAGATTGCCATTTGTTCCAATTCAGCAGTGAAAAGTGAGTTTTCACAGGGAAAGCGCCTAGGCAAAAAGAAAGAAAGAAAGTGCTCAGACCTAAGTCTAAAAACATAGCACAAAAGGAAGTCTGGATGAGCCCATTCATACATTGATGTCAGGATTGGGACACTCCCCTCCTTCTCAAGACGTAATATCTTCTTTGTTCAATGTTTTGAGCCAGGTTTATTTTTTATGCCCCCCTGTGAATCCAGGCACCCTTCACAAAAAGCAAAACCACCCAGAAAAATGTTGGTGAAGCTTTTGTATATAATGAAGCAGAGGGGGAATGGATGGGGGCAAGAGAGGAGATTTCCCAGGTGGCTCATACAGAAACACTGGGGAAAAGGTAATGACAGGAGTGAATTAAATACAGTTAAGATTTAAAGGTGAATCTGTTAAATCCACACTTTCCAAAACAAGATGAGAAGCAAAACACATCACTCCTCCAAAATCCACACTTCTCTGCATTTTGCTATGCAGTTCTCCAGCGATCGGATGCTTAGGAATATGCATTTATTTGGTGCATGTGGGCTTAAAAGCGAATATGGTGCTGGCTGCCTTTATTTGTCACAACCACCATTTCTTCCTAAAGCCAACACCGCCATCAGTGCCTTAGACTGACTGTCCATATGGGGCATTATTTGGATAGGGGTAGCTTGACTGAGAAGAGGGCTAGTAAACAGAGCTGTAGGTGCAGTGACTGGTGAGAGATTGCTAGAAGAAACAGAACAAAGAGAGCTTGCATCTTTTTAATTAACACGGGTTGCTTGTTTGGAGGCCTGCTTGCATTTTCATGCTGTGCATGTGTTATGTAGGATCCAAAATGCAACAGTCCGATTGGTCCTAGAACAATAGGATTCAGAATGCAGCAGTCTGATTGGTCCGCAGGAGCCACCCAATCCAACTCCGGGTGGAAGTGAATCCGCAACCTGATTGGCCTACAGGAGAACCCCAGAATTAGCCAATCACGTGGGGCCCATTGTGTAAATAACGTATATAAAGCAGACATTTCGGGGAAACTTCCATGCCTCACTACTCTGAGCTGAATAAAGAGCATGAAATCCACACTCGACTCCTGAGTATATTTCAGCATGATCTCAGGTGGACAGACTGCTGCTGAAAGGAAGAGAGGCTGGAGGAGGAAGCAAGCAACTGACTCTGTTGGGAGTGAAGTTAACAGCCCTCAGGTCTCCATAGCTGCCCTCAGTCTCTGGGACCTTGCAACCAGAGGCTTGTGAACAGGGCTAGCCAACAAGGGCATTTGAAAGGGACTTGAAGGGGGAGGCCCAGAGGGGCTGTGTCACAGTGTATGTAGAAGCAAAAGACATGAATGGTGAGGGAGCTGCTACTGCAAAACCTGAGCCATTTTTGTTTTCCTGCCTGCGCATGTAGGAAGCTACACCTGCAACAAGGGGAAGTTGTTGATGTTGATGATTAAAATTTCTATATTGCCCTTCATCTGAGGACCACAGGGTGGTTTACAATACAGTCATACCTCAGGTTAAAGACGCTTGAGGTTGCGCGTTTTCAGGTTACGGACCTGCCAAACGGGTTCCATACCGGAACGGGTTACTTCGGGGTTTCGGCACTTGCGCACGCACAGACATGCCAAATCGCAACCCATGCGTGTGCAGACGCAGCGCTGCAGGTTGCGGACGCTGCGGGTTGCGAACGTGCCTCCTGCACAGATCATGTTCGCAACCCGCAGCGTCCACACAAAACTACATAACCAGGTAACAAACAAAAGCAATAGCCTGCCCACCCCCTCATAGTTCAAGAGACCACCAAAGGCCTGGGAGAAGAGGAATGTTTTTACCTGGTGCCTAAAGATATGTAGGGATGCGGGTGGCGCTGTGGGTTAAACCACAGAGCCTAGGGCTTGCCGATCAGAAGGTCAGCGGTTTGAATCCCCGTAATGGGGTGAGCTCCTGTTGCTTCTGCCAACCTAGCAGTTCAAAAGCACATCAAAGTGCAAGTAGATAAATAGGTACCGCTCAGGCGGGAAGGTAAACGGTGTTTCCGTGCACTGCGGGGCTTTGTCATGCTGGCCACATGACCCAGAAGCTGTATGCCGGCTCCCTTGGCCAATAAAGCGAGATGAGCGGCCACGACAGGACCTAATGGTTAGGGATCCCTTTAAAGATATGTAAGGAAGGTGCCAAGCGAGCCTCTCTGGGGAGAGCATGGCTGCCTGGCTGGAGGAGAAGGTGCAACAGCTTTGTCCACCTTTCTTTACAAGAAAGGAGATTCTGACTAAACATCAGGAAGAACTTTCTGAGGGTAAGAGCTGTTTGACAGTGGAAAGGCCTCCCGTGGGAGGTGATAGACTCTCCTTCCTTGGAGGTTTATAAGCAGAGGTTGGATGGCCATCTGCCATGCATGTTTTAGTTGAGATTCCTACACTGACTCTACAATTCTATGATTCTATCCATATTTCAAAGGTAATTCTGCTGGTGCTACCGCTGTCTGTGGCAAGAACCAATTGAAGTCAATAAGACTTCATGGTTTCGACTTATACAATGTCCATCATAAAACCCTTGCAGCCATACTTCATTACCTTTGAACTGATCCATGTTAACATCTAGAACGGGATCTACAACACAGTATTCCAAGGCCCTGCTCCTTGGCTCTGGTGGGAGAGCCAGTGGATTCTCAGATGTCTCCATTTTCTCACTGCTGTTTGGAAAAACCAAGGGTAACCCACTCAAATCCAAAGTACAACAAAATAAAGGAATTGATAGGAGAAAGGAAACTTTAGAAAGCCGAGAGGGAGGGGGAGGCAAGCACAGAGGGATGGAGGCACAGAGGGGAGGAGATTCCTCCTTACGATGGACTCCAAAACCAGACATCTGAAGGCCAAAAGAGCAACCCCAGGTCTCTGAGCCTCTTCACTTACATCTCCTCAAATGTAGAAATAGAATCAATCATGCCAAGAGTTCCTCTGTTGCAACCCCATGCAGGGAGCAATGGAGAAGAAACTGATGGGCATCCCCCAGGACCCCTCACCCACAGAGACTCTGGCATGTCCCCAAAACAGGAGCCCTGTTCTCTCTCCCGCACAATAGCCTTTAGTGAAAGAGGTACAGCAGGTTCTCAGCGCAGGGACAGAGGCAGCAAGGTGTGTCCTGAGAGCAGAGGAAGTGGGGTGGCTATTTCTCTGCCTGCTCTTCAGTCAGGGGCCTTTCCCAATACGCCTGTGATACATGGCAGGTTAGGAGAAGGTGACCTGGTGAGATGGGCAGGCGGTCCAGCCAACAATAAGTCAGCCTTGCCACTGCTGAGGGGCTGTTCAGGAAGACGGGAACCAGCACTTCCTGCCCAAGGACACAGCCATGCTCTGGCTGTCTCTGCCCTCTTCCATTTGGATGCCAAAATCCATCTTTGCCTTGATTATACCTTAGGGATATCCAGTGCTTTTTTCTGGGGGACGCAGGGGGACGCATACCAGCCTAAACATTTTTTGAATCTAAGTTTGACCTCATTGAGGGGCAGTATTTCAATATGAGTAGGAAAATGAGAGTACCCCTAAACATTTTGCTTAGAAAAAAAAGCACTGGGCATATCTATTTGTATAGATGTTTGGAACTATCCCAGATTAAATGAATATGATGTACAAGAGACAGAGAAGATTATCCAGCCATGCGAATGGAGGGGGAGGGTGTAGGGAGTGATCTGGCCCTGGTCTTTGCATGGAGAATTGGGGTGCTGCAAGATGAAAAAAGGGGGCCCTACGTTCACCTGTGAAATGCTTCTGGGTGTGGATGCCTACTGTCTCTTCCCCAGGAGCCACTGAAAGGCCAGGTTACATGTACTGGGGTTCTGGACCCTTCCTGGCCTTGTGGAGCAATGCTAATACAAATGAACAGGATCCACTTACCTCTGCAAGGTGCCTCTCATATCCTAGAGGAGGGAAAGAGAGAGAGAAGGGAATTCACTGCCTACCACAGGCTCCAGTATGAAGACTGCTCAGACCCTGGAATGGATGCATTCTTGACACTTTGAAATCAGTCAGCCTAGCCCACACCAGGGTTTGGGGTAGGGATAGGTGAACCAGCCAATTTTAATTTCTGTCATTTTCCTTCAGTTCCCCATATATCCATATCAGTTTAATTTTAACAGAGACTAAAAAAGAAAGCAAGTAGTATTATGCTTATGTAAAATACGCAGGGATTAATGGTATGCAAAATGAACCATGGAAAGAGAAGAAGGGAAGTCATTGATATCTTAAGGATGTTTAAATTAATATTCTAAACTGTAAAACAGAAAATGTAATAAAAATTATTGGGGGGATTAAATTAAATTAATTAGCATTATTGCATGAATTTCTCATACATGTTTGTATGCAGTTCTGCATAACATTCACATCCAATTCTCTGTGCAAAAAGCTTAACTTCAGCACACTTTTCATTGTGCAGTTCACACATAACTAGACCTGCAGGTTAGTTGTTCTAGGTTACCGTCCCAAATAGCCACCCATACACCATCCCCAAATTTCAGCCCGTTACCCCTTACCATTTCAGAGATAGTTTGCTATGGCACCGTGGAAGAGAAAGAATTAAACTCTCTCACACACACACCCCCGCTGCCACCCAACAGCCCCCAGACTTCTCCTCAGCTGCTAATTGCTTAATTAAACAACATGTAAGCGGTACCCATACAATTAGCCTAATTTGGACTGGATAATGACTCGCTGGGTGAATCTGCAGAAAACGTCCCAAGAAAAATCCACTGATATTCATTCCCCTGTTAAGATTTCAGAGTGATTTCCTACCTTAAACTCCCTGGAAGCCTCCTCCAGAGGGATCACCTTGTGGTTTTCATGCTCCCTGGACCTGTCGCACACCACACAGATGGGGGTTTGGTCCTCCTTGCAGAAGAGCTTCAGGGGCTCCTGGTGCTTCTCACACACTCCCCACTTACCCTCTTGAAGGCTCAGCTTCTTGGTTATTTCTACAAAGTTAGCCAGTTTCCGATTGGGGGCGAGACTCCTTGGCTGAACTGCATTTCTGCACTGAGGGCAGGAAGGCTGTGAGCCCACGACCCCAGAGTACCGGCTCAAGCAGCCTCGGCAGAAATCGTGCCCGCACGCAGTGGTCACTGGATCCTTGAAGTAATCCAGGCAGATGGGACAAGTGGCTTCAGCACAGAGATCCTGGACGGGACCCCCAGAACCAGCCATGGCTCTGCCTCACAGTGAAGGCACAGCTGACTTTCACCTTCTCAGTTTTCAGCTTCTGGGAGTTTCCCTGCCTGCAAATGACTCAGCATCTCAGAACTGACCCGATTGGCTGCTGCTGTTTATATTCTGGCAGGCTTGCACAGCTGCTTAGCATTGTCTCAAGCAGCCTTGTTTTGCATTGCTTTTAATGCCTGTGTGCTTTATGCAGTGTGCTGCCTTGAGGGGGTGATGTGTAAATCATTTTATGAATGAATATGAGAACAGAAATCATTGACATTGTAGGGGAGGAGCCTCTGCTTCAAGAAAGAAGTGCTTAGCGGTGACTGCCTTCTTCTCCTGGCATAGACATCTTATGTTCCCTGCTCTGCTCCGGGATCTGATCTGGCTGGGAGCTTCAGACACCAGGCCCACTGGCAGACTTCCTCTGTGTTACAGAGATACAGTGGTACCTCGGGTTAAGTACTTAATTCGTTCCGGAAGTCCGTTCTTAACCTGAAACTGTTCTTAACCTGAGGCACCACTTTAGCTAATGGGGCCTCCCGCTGCTGCCGCGCTGCTGGAGCACGATTTCTGTTCTCATCCTGAAGCAAAGTTCTTAACCCGAGGTACTATTTGTGGGTTAGCGGAGTCTGTAACCTGAAGCGTATGTAACCCGAGGTACCACTGTATCTGCAAACATGACATGAAGGCTGGCAACATTAACCCCTGGAGGGATGCCAACCGAGTCCCCAGAAGGAGCATGCTCCAGAGAGGCCGCTGGCGCAAAGGGAGAGCGTGAGCGGGATTCTCATGTTGCGATTCCTCCCTTCTCCTTTCCTGTATTGGTCTCCACAGGTACAGCAGGCACTGTAACCTTCTGAGTTTGACATAAGCCCCAAAGGCTCACTCCTCCATTGTCTCCCTAGACAGATGGGTGCCAGCTTTGAATTTATTAAAATAGTGGGTAGAATGGGTTTTTCTTTGTCTTTTTTGACTATGATCCTCAGCCCACATTCACCCAGTCGGAGCTCTCAGCAATCATCCCACTCCAACACAAAGTGCAAACACTCCCAGGATATATACATATTCCTTTTATTGTGTAATTGTGATGATCTCTCTCTGGGAACTCATGCAATCCCAGTTTCAAGACCATTTCTGCCTATAAATGTTTGCAGTGGTCATAACTTCTTCATTTCTTATCAGTCCATGTCCTGCTGCTTCCTTCAGAAATCCCATAAATTTTAATGCCAGAAATGTTCTGTTGTGATTTTCTATTTGGTCCCCTTTTGTTTCATTACAGTCCAGGAGTGCCCTTCCAAATGGCAATAACAGAGAAACATTCTGGAAATATTGCAGAATAGCTACTGAAGCACAGTGGATGTGTGGATAGTCCAGCGTCAATCCACGACTAAGGCACTATTATTGCATCAATGACACATCACATTTTACACCCACAAAAAGTTGAGGGGCTCCTCAGCATCCTGCAATGGAGGTTTAGGAGCTTTTCTTTAATACTGCTTCTTTTTTTCAACTTGCATATACCTCCAAAATAACCAAAATTTGAAATCCATAAAATACAAAAAGAAAAATGATTGAAAATAATACAAATGCTGTTCCCCCCAAAACATTATGTAAAACCATAACGACAGCATAAGATCATGGACAATTAACAAAGCATCAAAAACCAGCAATAGAGAAAACAATGTATTTTTAAAGATTAAAGTATATTTAGTTACTAAAAGCCAGGGGGTGGGGGAGATCCTGCCGATTTTGAAATAAATGTCATTGGTTGTGCATCCCATTAACTAAGTTGGGGACCACAGCAAAGTCTCCATGTGCCTTACATAGGGCACACATAGCCAAGTTGCTCGACTACAACTCCCATCATCTCTGACTCCTGACCATGCTGGTAGGGGCTGATGGGAGTTGTAGTCCGACACCATGTCCAGGACACACCATGTCGGCTACCCCTGATGCAGAGAATCCAATTGTTAATACAAAAGATTAATGAAGCAATCCCAAAAACAATGAGCCAGAGGCCTCACAGAATTCAGAGATACTTATGTCTGAGGAAGTGTAGAGGTGGTGAGGATAAAATTTGCACGGGGGGGGGGGGGGAAGAAGCGTGTTAAGTTGGTGCTATAGTTGGAAGGAAATACAAACAATATGTGTGAGGTAACAACTTAAAATGAGCTTTAGTAGCAAAAGTGGGAAGGGACTGTTTTCTAGGAATACGTGTGTATTTTAATAGTTGGTGTAGGCAAGCAATGAAAAGAAGATTAAAGTTGGTGGAGGCTGAGCCCTTTTGATGAACAGATTGTTAATTGACACAGTTAAAGTGTTATGGTTTGTTAAGGACTCAGCTGCAGAGGAAATTCTGGGAAAGGGAAGGAAAGAGAAAATCCCAAGTTTTGTTTCTTTTCTTATTTCTGCTGATTGTGACTTCTCTCAAAGGTTCTCTGCAAACAGATCAAAACTGTCAAGTGTTTTCATCTCAGTCATTCTGGTGTGAAGAGAAACTCCAACTGGGCCTGAGAGGCCAATTTTGTCTCCTCAGGAGATACTGAGGTGGGTTTCATTTCCCCCCAGATAAAAGAAAGGGAGGAGGGTCTCCCTGGAGAACGAGGCCCCTGAGAATGTGTGGAGTTCGTCTCCTGAGTCAGCATCAGAAAAAGACACACGTCCCACTTCATAGTCCAGAGTCACCCAAATCCTCTTGGGCTCCTCACTCAGGGACAGAGGAGAGGAATCAGGGGAGGTGAAGGCAAAGTACTCACCTCCTGACTTCTTCACAGCCCAGATCCCTCCCTCAGAACCTAAGTCAGTTAAGGAAGCGTGCATTACTAAACGTGACCAGAAAGAGGTGAGATTACCCTTTCTCCTCACAGACTTCCTGGCAACCCCCAGAGCCCACCATTCCCCACTTTCCATAGTGACTTCCCAGAAATGTCTGCCTGCTGTGAATCCCTCACATCCCAACACACAAGGCATGTCACTGAATCTCTCAGGATTGTCAGGCAGGTCTTGCAGTTTGGCTCCATATCTCACACTTTTCCGATCCTCGGACAGGATGAGCCTGGGATGGGCCGTGTCTGGATCCAGAGTGACATTTGCTGTTAGGGAGAAGATGAGGGAAAGAGAAGAGAGGCAGAATCAGCCTAGAGTCTGAGACGCACAACCTGATCCAAGAAACACCCAGAAGAACCAGATTTCCTCTCAGATAAATGGGCGTCCTCACATTTCATTCAGGATTGGGACCCTCCCTTCTTTCTGCCAGACTCACCTCAGAATAAATTCCTTCCCAGCAGGTTTTTAAATAATGCTTTTTTGTTCCTTTTTACTCAACATATTTTATTGTGTCCCTCCTGTCAATCCAGTCACGAAGCAAAACAACCCAGAAAATATTCCCCAAGCTCTTCTATGCAGTGAAGGGGAGGAGGAAGGGATGGGGGCAAGAGGAGAAAAATGATTCTCCTTTGAATCACTCGTTGTGAATTGCCCATTTGGGGCTTTCAGAGGTTTACATTGAAATCAGAGGGAAGAAATCAATGTAGGCAAGATTTGCATGCCCCAGACTTGCAGAGATAGTTTCACCATAGTTTCACCACAGAGTAGGAAGTGGGGAGCCCAAGGGGGAAAACATAGACTGTCAGTTTCAGCTCAGACTCAGAGACAGGGACACCGGAAATAGCTGATCCGAAAAATCATAGGCTCGAGAGAGTCTGTGAGAAGCGGGAAAGAGAAAGAGAGAAAGGGGGGGTTTTGTTGTTGGAAAAGGAAGGGGCAGAGCTCAGACTTGGCAACAGCAAATTTGGGGGAATACGCCGAGGACTGAGCTCCACAATGCTTTATGTGTTTGAGCAATAAATCTGAGTTAGTTACTACCAGAGTGTCTCGCATCTGTGGGAGAGAACCCCAAGCCATTACAGTTCAGTTATTTGCTCCGAAATTTCAAATATCTTACTCTCCTGGAAATTAATCCTTTCTTTTTGCCTTCTGCTATTTAAATGCAAGAGGTCAAATCATTTCTAATTGTCCATTTTTGTATTCACAAGCCTTTTGCTTGGAATTCTTTTCCAGCCGATAAGCTTGGTGTCCAGCCTAGGGCTGGCGTCTAGCCCAAAATTAAGGAGTTGTGTTTATTTTTTCACTACTCCAGATTACATTCCTGCTTGAAAAGTTTTTGTATTCTTTACTTCATAATACTTGTTTTTCAGAGTGAGAAATCCATCTTTTAAAATATTTTCTCTGGGAGCTCTCCGTTTCTGCTGCTTAATCCATGACCAGGAGCGCCCCCCCCCCCCGTGTGTTTTTTACTTCCTGGGCAGGGAATTATTTTGAGAAAAACAAGTGGAAGGGGGCAGCTCTCTGTGCACATGCCCTGCTGGTATTAAATCAGCATGATCTGAATCAGCAAATTAGAAGATAGCAACAAATGCAACAGGGAACACCTACTGGTATGAATGGGAAAGACTGAAGATGCTCTCTTCATAGATAAATTCAGGTACAGTGGTACCTAGGGTTACATACGCTTCAGGTTACATACACTTCAGGTTACAGATTCCGCTAACCCAGGAATAGTACCTCGGGTTAAGAACTTTGCTTCAGGATGAGAACAGAAATTGTGCTCCAGCGGCGCGGCAGCAGTGGGAGGCCCCATTAGCTAAAATGTTAGACCTTTTCTTTGTTCCTTTATCTTGGAGCATCAGAAATCGCTTCAAAGAGTCAATTAGACAGCAGTAAAATCATTTATTTTTGCCATGACAAAAAAAGGTACAGACAGGCTGATGTTCATTGCCTGCTGCCCCCGAATTCTGAGCGAGCCAGCTTTTTATACATTTGCAGAATACAATACCACCTGATTTCTTGTAAACCGAAAGTTATGGCAACTTCCTATGTCCTTACATGGGCTTGCCCCCCCCCTTCCTTCCTGCAATGGCCTCACAAGCCTCTGCTTATCTCTTTACAACCTTGAAAAATAAACATTTGAGCCTGTTCCATCAATGCCAGTCTTGTTCTCCCCAGACATTCCAAAGAGAGGCCCATTTTACTGTAACATTTGAGAGAGGAGAAAATGCCTAAAAGAGTTTTTGGGATCATATAGAGAACAATATTCTAATGGTGCTTCAGGTTAAGAACAATTTCAGGTTAAGAACGGACCTCTGGAACAAATAAAGTACTTAACCCGAGGTACCACTGTATTTGTGTGTGAGGACTACTCATCTAAATAGAATAGAGCAAAAGTGCTAATTAACAGTCAAATCATGCTCAGATGTGGGCAAGACCAAAGGATCCAGCAAAAGCAAAAGGGGAATGAGAAGACTGAGTTCAAGTACTCCTCCCTCTTAGAATAACACCAAGGAAAGGACAGACCATTTAATCCCAATGAAATACCAGCTCCCAACTCGTGCTTGAATTTGGTCCATCACAAAAGTTACCTTTCTGAGGATGTCTTCCGAATGACAGAGCATCTGAGGAAGCAAAGAGATATAAAGACTGAGAGCTAGACTTTTATACCTCAAATAATTTTGTGACAACCTTTTCACTAAATGACATAATATCAATTGTTTCTTTATTTCAAGTAAAATGTTGATATAGAACCAACAATTACACATAAGAAAACTGTATGAAAAGATAAAAAAAAAAAAAATGTTAAACTGAGAAATGACAGAAACACTGCAATATCAATGTATTAAAAGAATGCAAGGGAGAGCTGTCTATAACCTTAACAGTTGTCCCAGGTAAACGGATGAAAAATCATTTATGGAAGTCAAAATTGTTAACCATAATGACAAATTAAACTTGCAGAGGAAGAATTTGCCTGACCAAACAATTAAAATTCTTTCAGATTCTTAACAAACATTTTGGTAGAAGCAAGAATGGGGCAGAAATTCAATTTATTTTGCATTCACACTTTCTGAAACAATACAGGAACTGAAGCACAGCAATCCTTCAAAACACACACTTATCTCAATTTTGCTATGAAGTTCTCCAACCGACTGATATATTAGGGGAATCTCTGCATAAAGCTGAATATGTTAGTGAAAGTCACCCACAAAATAGAATTCTCCTACTGAAAACTGCTTGAATAATTGTATACATTAGCCAAATATCTGTTTCTTAGGAGAAATTTGCTGATGAAATACGTTGATGAATTTAGTGAGTATTAAACCACCAATGGGACGTGGGTGGCACTGTGGTTAAAACCTCAGCGCCTAGGACTTGCCGATCGCATGGTCGGTGGTTCAAATCCCCGCGGCGGGGTGAGCTCCCATCTTTCGGTCCCAGCTCCTGCCCACCTAGCAGTTCGAAAGCACCCCTAAGTGCAAGTAGATAAATAGGTACCGCTTTACAGCGGGAAGGTAAACGGCGTTTCCGTGTGCTGCGCTGGTGCTGGCTCGCCAGAGCAGCTTCGTCACACTGGCCACGTGACCCGGAAGTGTCTCCGGACATCGCTGGCCCCCGGCCTCTTAAGCGAGATGGGCGCGCAACCCCAGAGTCGGACACGACTGGCCCATACGGGCAGGGGTACCTTTACCCTTAAACCACCACCAAGAGAGGCTGGTGAATTTTCAAGGAGATTTAAAAAACAAAACACCACAAGAACACTCAGGAGATCATGATGGTTGCAGCGCTAGGTATGTCAGCTGCTGGTGGGAGTCTGAGGAAGAAGAGAGAACTTAGGAGATAATTCCACAGCTGGGAAACAAGCTTGACCTGGGAGTGGAGTAACGGTGTGTTTGTTAAGAGCCGTTCTAATGCCCATCGGGATGGGAAAACACAAGTGGAGTATAAAGAACCAAAATGAAAAGGAGGTTCAGTACAACTGTGAACTGAACACTGGAACAAAAATAAATTCTGACTTTGCTCCTATTGCTGTTTGTGGCAAGAGTAAATAAAATACAGTAAGAGCCTGGCATGTTCAACTTTCGGACTAATATATTGTCCAGTGTAAAATCCTTGCAGCCACTCATTACCTTTGATTTCCTTCACCCCAACATACAGAATGGGATGTTTAGCGCGGAAATTTGAGATCCGCCTCTTCAACTTTGATAGGAAATCCATTGGATTCTTAAATGTTTCCCTTAGCTGACACCTGATGGGGAAAAATAAACATTAACCCATTCAATTGCAGAATTTCTGAGTGCAGCAAAAGAAAGCAATTGAGAAGAGGAAAGAGAATATAGAAAGCTGAGAGGGAGACACAAAGGAATGGAGGCACAGAGGGGAGATGATTCCTCCTTACTAGGGACTCCAGAGGCAGACATCTGAGGGCCAAAGGAGCAGCCCCAGATCTCTGAATCTCCTCAGTTAAATCTACTCAAATGGAGAAATAAAATCAAGTGATACCATCCTGCTCAGAGCTTTTCAATTTTGGCTGCATTACCTACAATGTGGAGGGGGAAAAGATGATTGCTGCTGTTGACAAAAGTGATATCTTTCTTCTATCCTCTTATCATGAACCCATGTGACACCTTGAAGTTACGTATTACAGCTGAGATATTTTCAGGAACATGGCACACACCTCAACTCCTGCTCCCTTGTTGGGACCTTTCACCACATCCTAAGAGCCTGGAGGGGCAGGTTTTATTTCCTGTCCTCCTGGACCTTTCCCAGTTTCACAGAGTGATATTAATGGAGATGAGCAGGATTCACTTACCTCTGCAAGGTGCTTCTCACATCCTAGAAAGGAAAAGAGGGAAAGAAGAATGGGATTCACTGCCTACCACAGGCCATATAATGAAGACCCATCAGACCCCGGAAGGGATGCTGTCAGGGAACTGACATCGGAGCCTGAGGTGGAGGGAAGGCTCTCAAATGATGCTGGAGAAGGGCCAAGCAGGGAGAGAGGCAGTTCAGCAGAGGGGGAAGCAAATCAACGTTACACCAGGGATAAAGGGGGGCAGATGGGGGAATGGGCGAGAGGGCTCCAGGACTCTTCACTGGACACCAGCGGGGAGAGCACGGGTTCTCCGCTACCCACGCCCTCCCTGCGCAGAAGACTTCCACACAGGGAGAGTAGGAGGAGACTGGGCGTCAAACAACTTTTATGTTGGAAGAGGTTTAAGAAACGCCCACTGACGGATTCTGCTAGCGACTGAGGCAGCCACGAAGTGAAGGGCTGTCCAGACAGAAAGGTTTAACAAGGCAACATAGCCAGGAGAGGCGGCAACTTACGCACGAGCAACCCCATACCCATTATAGATGCCCTCTGGCCCTCTGGGTGAGTCTGCCTAGCAAACTCCAAAGTTTTGGATAGGAATGGATTTATCTAGGGGTCAGCAACCTTTTTCAGCCATGAGCTGGTCCACCGTCCCTCAGACCGTGTGGTGGGTCGGACTATATGGGGGGCAGGTAATGAATGAATTCCTATGACCCACAAATAACCCAGAGATGCATTTTAAATAAAAGCACACATTCTACTCATGTAAAAACACGCTGATTCCTGGACTATCCGTGGGCCGGATTGAGAAGGCGATTGGGCCACATCCGGCCCATGGGCCTTAGGCTGCCTGTGAGCAGAATCAGAACTTACAGAGTTAAACAGTTCTGTGTGACATCTCTGCATTCTGAGGTGTGGTTTTGTTCACATACAGGAATCTTTCTTTGTGTGTGAGTTACTTTCACTTTTAGCTGTTGAGCCGAGGAGATGTCCACTCGATCTCCTGGCTGATTTATGATGTTTTTCTGTGCAATGATTAAAGCCTTCTTGGATTAGCAAGAAGCCTGCGTACAGACTATGATTTATTGCACCCACACAAAGGCACAAACCGCTGCTGCGATACTCTGCTTGGAGCCACGAAGAGATCTTAAGTCTCAGAGGGTCACAGGGAAGTGTGCCGGATGCCATTACATCTTCAGACTGCCTACCCCTGGATTAATCTATCATTTCAATTTCTCTCAGTTTTTATCTTTCTGATCTTAAGTTTAGTTCTCCAGATTAGTTTCTGATGATTATATTTTAAAACCTGATGAAAATTCATGGGATCTTCTCCTCTGTTTTTCCAAGGTATCCATAGTATATTGGCCACAGGAGAAATTATGAATAATGGTTCTAACTGAAAGAGTTTCATTTCCAATTTCTGAGATATCCTTAAATTTAACCATGTGAGCTGGGCAGCTTCATACTATTAAGCTAAATTAGGTACTGCCAGTCCTCCTTTCTGCATAGGAGTCCGCACTGGAATAGTATCCACTCTCAGGTGTTTCCTTTGCCAAACAAAATTGCCAAATAAAGTGCTGGTTTTGACCTATAAAGCCTTAAATGGCTCAGGGCCACAATACCTCAAGGGCCGCTTCTTTCCATATGAACCCACCCAGACCCTGACATCATCTTCTGAGGCCCTTATTCATGTGTCCCCTCCACGAGAGGTCCAGAGTGGCCACATGAGAACAATATTTATATTTTTTGTGTTTTTATATTTTTATATATTGTAATTTTATCCTGTGAACCACCCTGAGACCTCCAGGTATAGGGAGGAATATAAATTTAATAAATAAACAAATAGTTGTCCAAGCATCTTTTTTCCTCCTCTGGAGCTTTCCCTGCAAAAATCTGCTCTTTAAAGCTGAATCAAAGCAAACGGCAATCCACAGAAGAACTGAATTGCCGTTTGTTGCACTCGGCATTAAAGAGTGAGTTTTTGTGGGGAAGTTCTGTGGGGGGAAGAAAAGAGCACTTTGGCAGAGCCTGGAAAGAGCGAGGCAAAAGGTAAGTGTGGTTAAACCACTAGAGAGGAACTTTGGGCTGTTCCTGCCACAGTCTCACCTGCAGGAGTTCACTCGCTGGCTGCTGACTCTTCTCCTCCATCTCCCGGATGCTCCTTTCAAGAGAGGAGAGTTTCTCTGAGAGTCTAGCCAGCTGCTCCTCCCTTCTTCTTGTGATCTCCTTCTCCATCTCTTCTATTTCATTCAGCAGACTCTTTTCTTCTTCTTCCAGAAACTGGTGCAGTTGTCTGAACCTCTCCAGTGTATTCTGCCTCTCAGTTTCTGTTAATTTCTGCAAGAACCAGGAAGAAAGAGGAAAAGAGGAAGGCAGAGTGTTTTGAAACAATTTTATGGTAAATCACTCAGCAATGGGGCTACATCATTGTTAAGTTGTGGGCGAACATATTAGACGACACAGCGATTCTTCAAACAGCTCTTGTTTATTCAGAGGCCAGAACAGAACTGAACTGAAGAGCTCTGTCAGCCTGCTTATATAGAGCTCCAGTACAACGTAACTGTAACAATTTTCTAAAACTATCCAATCACTGAACGTCACTTTCGATCCTTCATTTGCATAACTATCTACAGTATCCCCCTGCTGGCCCAGGGTGAGAACTTCAGTACATAACAATCCTGACTTGGTCCTTCAAATACTTGTCCCCTTTGTAGTAATGGTGACACTTACAAGCAGGTTGTTGCTTTCATTTCCCATGTTTGCTTCGTAAGCCAGAATTTTCTCTCTCTCTTTCCTCAGATGCTCCAGGTGACGACAGATGATTGTCTGAAGAGGAAACAAAATCTAAGATTTGATTAGGGCTGCAGGCCCTAATTAATATTATGCTTACTTCTAGTACCTGGGCCCTATTATTCAATTTTTGCTTAATAATTGCTCCAGGAGTTTCTAGGGTTTTTTGATGTACACTAAAAAAAATCTAAAGCACGAGAACTTCCATTTCTTTATTCTTACTCCAGTTCATCATTATGATTACATTACACAGGAACCCTTTAGCGTAAGTGCAGAAAAACAGTGCTTTTAAAAACAAAAACACATTTTAAAAAGTTGCTTTGTAAGCAGAACAAAGTTTTTGTTCTGTTTTAGATAGCACAGAAATGAGGCCCAATTTCTGATTCTCATGAATGTACAGATTAGCAATTTATTACGTTTGCTTTACAGCAACATTAAGAGCACATAAGTACTGAATTTGTTCCGGTGCTCTGTTCTTAACCTGAAACTGTTCTTAACCTGAGGTACCACTTTAGCTAATGGGGCCTCCCGCTGCCACTGCACAATTTCTATTCTCATTCTGAAGCAAAGTTCTTAACCCAAGGTACTATTTCTGGGTTAGCGGAGTCTGTCACCTGAAGCGTATGTAACCCGAGGTACCACTGTATATACACTGAAAAAGAGATGAAAGGATTGTGTTGGCAAGTGTCAAAATGACTTCCTACCTTGTATTCCTGGGCAGCCTCTTCCTTGAGAACCACAATGTGCGATTTATGTTCTGGGGATCGCTCACAAAGTAAACACACCAATTCTTCATCTTCTTTGCAGAAGAGGTGGAGTTTTTCCTTGTGTCCCTTACACAGATCCTTTCCCCCTTTATTTGGTGGCAGGAGTTTAATTTTTTCCACGATATTGGCCAGCTGCCAATTGGGGCGGAAACTCCCTCTCTGCATCCGGGCTTTGCAGACAGGACACTCCAAGTCTCCCACCTGCATTGGTTCCCATGTGTCACAATACTTTACAATGCAGTCCCGGCAGAAGTTGTGACCACAGTCCAAGGTCACAGGGTCTGTCAGATACTCCATGCAGATGGGGCATGTGGCTTCTTTTCCGACATCCATGGATGAGGATGAGGCCATGATAGAGGAAGAGTCTGTGGCTTTGTTGAGATGAGAGGCAGCAGGTTGGGAATGAACTTAGGAGGGGAACAAATACCTGTAAGGTAAAAACTATTCAGTATTAATCGTTTCCACATCCTTCCAGTAAAACTAACTCTGCATTTCACTTTCTTATGAAACGTATCGTCCATAATTGGTCCTGTTATACAAATTTTAAGGTACATGCAGATAATAGGCACATACTCACCACAGAAAACCAAACCTCCGGCCTTCAAAAAATTAGGAAATATTCCCTGAAAAACTAGTCACTTTATTTGAGTGTATAAAATTTAGACAGTTCACAAAGCAAGAGCAAGTCCATCTTTAGCCTGCAGCTGAACTGTGGGACCCCTCCATATATCTAGCAGAAAGTTCTTGGTAAAATCATTCTTCCACAGCCTGACAAAGCTTTATACTTTCAAATCACTGTATTTGAAAAGGGGCCAGTCTGTGTCAATAAACTCTAACACCAAGGTCTTCACCATTTCAAAAGGATGCTCTGGCAAGCCCCAGAAAAACAATTAGCATGTATTATTCAAATCTCTGAGTGGCAGATTTGTAAACATGTTGGACAAACATATTATTCTGAGCATGGTCTGATTTACAAGTGCAACCCTTTTCTGTGTCATTTCTACAGGCAACACCCCGTCCACATCATCCCACACGATGACAGAGTGCATGCAAAACTGTCCCCATTCTGGGCCCAAAACAGTGTGTGCACGGTCACGTGTCAATTGCACACACGCAAAATGCTTGGTACAGTGGTACCTCGGGTTAAGAACTTAATTTGTTCTGGAGGTCCGTTCTTAACCTGAAACTGTTCTTTTTTTTTTAAAGATATTTATTAAGATTTTCAAAATATTACAAAATGAAAAAAGAAAAAAGAAAAATACAAAATAAAAGTAGTTAAAAACAACTCAGTCTTTCCGTTACTTATCTTTCATTTGCTTATTTCCCGGACCTCCTCGCGCCTCCCTTTTTTGTATTCCAATTCAGTTTGTTAGTTCAGCAAATCCTTCCCCTCTTTGTTTGTCCTAGTCTTTAATTTTAAAATGTTGTGACATTAAAATTTTACCTGTTAATAATCCATTTTTCATATTCCCTTATAATATTACAGCTAAAAACCACTTAATTTCTATCCAACATCATTCTAACATTCATTAATTTTGCAATATTTCTGTAAATAGTCTTTAAACTTTTTCCAGTCTTCTTCCACCGACTCTTCTCCCTGATCTCGGATTCAGCCAGTCATTTCCGCCAATTCCATATAGTCCATCACCTTCATCTGCCATTCTTCCAGAGTGGGTAGGTCTTGTGTCTTCCAGTACTTTGCAGTAAGTATTCTTGCTGCTGTTGTGGCATACATAAAGAAAGTTCTATCCTTCTTTGGCACCAATTGGCCGACTATGCCCGGGAGAAAGGCCTCTGGTTTCTTCAGGAAGGTATATTTAAATACCTTTTTCATTTCATTATAGATCATCTCCCAGAAAGCCTTAATCCTTGGGCACGTCCACCAAAGGTGAAAGAATGTACCTTCAGTTTCCTTACATTTCCAACATTTATTATCGGGCAAGTGATAGATTTTTGCAAGCTTGACTGGTGTCATGTACCACCTGTATATCATTTTCATAATATTCTCTCTTAAAGCATTACATGCCGTAAACTTCATGTCCATAACTGTTCCCAGTCAGCCATCATAATATTATGTCCAACATCTTGTGCCCATTTAATCATAGCAGATTTCACAGTTTCATCCTGAGTATTCCATTTCAACAGCAAGTTATACATCCTTGACAAAATCTTAGTTTTGGGATCTGTCAGGGAACTGCCATCGGAAGGAAGGGAAGTGAAAGGGCTCACACAGGTTGGGAGAGACTCAGCAGCTGAAGAGGGAACCAGTAGGGGGAGAGGAGCTGGGCTGAGGGAAAGGGAGCTGGAGGGATGGCTCAGAGACACTTCCAGCGAAAACAGTGGGGAGGTTTCAGGACCTCCTGTAGGGACACCCACTCCTCGCCGGAAACTGTCACGCAGAGAGTCCAGAAGACGTGTTTCCGTTAAGGAGCTTTTATGTTGGAAGCGATTCCAAAGCAACCACTGTCGGAATCTGCCAGCGACTGACGGAGCCATGTTTAAGGGGCTCCGTTACAGACAGAGGTTTGCAAACTTGACCAAACTCTGAGGGACTAGGATTTTACACACAAGCAGCTCATCGTCCCATCACAGCATTCCGACAGACTTCGTGAGCAGCTTGTGCAGGAGAAGGCATCATGAGCAACCCAGCCGGAACCGGAGAAGCAGGAGCTGGAGCGGGTCCAAGCCTGGAAGAAAGGTACCGGGTGTTGGAGGTCCAGCTAGCGCTGCAGACGGCGAGGCTTGAGGAGAGGAGGGCTCAGGATGCAGACAAAAAGGGGAAAGACACCCAGCTCGTCAGAAAGGTACCAGGATTGGTGCAGAAGTTTGGGGGGGAGCCCAAAGACTATCATGGCTTTCGGACAGAGATGCAATATGCCCTCAATCTGCAGTTTGATGAATTCCCTGACGAGGAATCACGAGTGGCTTTCGTGATTGGGCATCTTGAAAAGGGGGCGAGAGACTGGGTTAGACCCCTGATGGCAGCGAATAGTGACGTCCTAAAGGACACGATGAAGTTCTTTCGCGCCATGGATCTGATGTTTTCCAGCGATATTGAACAGGGAGTGGTCCGCAGACAGTTAATGGCTTGCAAACAGGGGAGCCGATCTGTCCGTGAGTACTGGACTGAGTTCACCATGTTGATCCATAAATTGGGGTGGGATCTATCGGCGGAACCCATTCAAATGCTCTTTGAAGAAGGGCTTTCTTCGGCTGTGAAAGACGAACTTTCCCGGGCGCCCAGGGCGGAGTCTATGGACCAGCTGACCAAATCAGCGCTGACCATAGGAGCGCGCCAGGAGGCGAGAGCATTGGAGAGGCGGGAAGGGAAGGGGGAACGTTGGAAGGAGTTCCGCATTCCAGACATTCCAGAGCCAACTTTCCCGCCGGCAGAGCCGATGGAAATCGGAACAGCGCGCGCGCGCGCAGTTTCAAAGCCCAGTGAAGGGGGAAGAAGGAGGGAAAAGGCGCCCGGAAATGCTATCTCTGCCAACAGCCAGGTCACTTTGCCAGAGTCTGCCCCCAGAGGAAGGAATGGCAAGGGATGGTAGGAGCTGTGGAGGGAAGAGAGGAAGAAATACCGAAGCAAGTACAGCCAACGCCTGGCTGCCACCGTCGGGGCACAGCAGCCAGGCCAAAGAGCAGTGAAAGTGCCCACGCCAGAACCTCCTAAACCCGCCCTAGTGATAGAAGTGGCGCTAGAGCTGCCAAACGGACACCCTCTAAAGATAAAGGCGCTGTTGGACTCAGGCAGCTCCTGCAATTTCATGAGCAAAGAGTTTGCAGCTGAACACCAGATACAGACGATCCTTTAAGCAACCCCTGCAGGTGACCACGATCGATGGCAGGGAGCTGTTGGGAGGAGAAGTCAGCTTGCAGACCGTCCCAATGATAATGAAGGTGGCAAGGCACACCGAACTGATAGCGTTTAATGTGGCCACCTTGGGAGGAGCTCCCATTATATTGGGGATGAGCTGGCTAGCGTTACATGATCCGCTGGTGGGCTGGCATCAGAGAGTGGTTTCTTTTGGTTCAGCACATTGCTTAGAACACTGCAAAGAGGGAAAGGGTTTGGCAGGGGCCCAAGCCACCCTAGCAGGGACTGAAGTAACGGAGAACGTGAAGGTACCACGACAATACGCAGATCTCCGCGACGTCTTCAGCGAAAGGGAAGCTGACCAATTACCCCCGCATAGACCCTTTGACTGTCAAATCAATTTACTCCCTGGGGCACAGCTCCCTGTAGGCAAGCTGTACGCCATGTCAGACAGAGAGATGCAGGAGCTAAGAGAGTTCATTGACAAGAACCTGAAGAGAGGGTTCATCAGAGAGTCCAGGGCGGTGGGGGCAGCCCAGTGTTTTTGTGGATAAAAACACGAACAAGCCGAGGCTTGTGTGTGACTTCAGGGCCTTAAATGCAGTGTCAGAACCAGTGGCTTTCCCTATGCCCAGGATTGACGACATTTTGACAAGGGTCAGGAAGGGAAAGATTTTTACTAAACTGGACCTAAGGGGGGCGTACAACCTGATACGAATAAGGAAGGGGGATGAATGGAAAACCACCATGTTCACCCCTTTGGGGGCATTTGAATATTTAGTTATGCCCTTCGGCCTACAAGGAGGCTCCGCGTGCTTTCAATCGTTTATGAACCACGTCCTGGGGCCTTTGCTTTACAAGAATTGTGTGGCCTTCTTAGACGACGTGTTGGTGTATTCTGAGAATGAGGAGCAGCATGTGAGAGACGTCAGAGAAGTGTTGAGCAGGCTGCAAGCCAACCAGCTGTGGGTGAAACTGGAGAAGTGTCAGTTTCATACCAAGGAGGTGGAATTCCTGGGGTATCGCCTGTCAGACAAGGGATTGGCCATGGATCCCGGCAAGGTCCAGGCGGTGCTGGAATGGAAAACACCCAAAACAAGGAAGGATGTGCAGAGGTTCCTAGGATTTGGGAACTTCTATCGTAAGTTCATCCGAAACTTTGCCCACCTGACGGCGCCCATTACGGACTGTCTCAGCAGTAAGAAGAAGTTCGTTTGGACTGAGGAGGCGGAGCGAGCATTTGAGGAACTAAAAAGGGCCTTCGCCTCGGAACAACAACTCCTGCATGTGGATTTACAAAAACCGATGAGAGTGGAAACTGACGCATCAGACAGAGCTATTGGGGCGGTGCTTCTGCAGCCAGGGAAGGAGGAGTCAGAGTGGAGACCGTGTGCCTTTTTTTCGCGAAAGCTGAACAAATCCGAGAGGAACTACACGGTGTATGACCGAGAACTACTAGCCATTCATGAGGCGTTCCGGAGATGGACTCTGAGGAGGAGGAGTACTTCGAGACCAGGAACCGCAACAGGTGGAGAGAAGTGTTCGGGACATCGGAAGATGAAGGAAGTTCATTCCGGGGTTTTGCCTCCTCACCGCCCGTAGAGGA